ATGATTGGAAAAAAATCATTGATCAATAACTATATATTAAAAAAATTATATAGTTCAGATCCTATAAAAGCATAGGAATCTTGCAATAAATGTGGGAAAAGATGGTCATAAAAAGACAGCAAAAAAGCTATAAAACTCTTCAAAGAAAATATGGAAAAAGCTTTGTGACATAGGCTCTGGCAATGATTTCTTGGATATGACACAAAAAAATACAGACAGCAAATTAAAAATATACAAAATGGACCATGTCAAAATTAAAAACGTTTGTACATCAAAGGACATTATCAGCAGTGAAAAGGCCCCTAGCGAATGGGAGGAAATCTTTGTAAATCAGGTATCTGATAAGTAATAACCAGAATACATAAAATACTCCTTTCAATCCAACAACAAAAACAACCCTCTTGAAAAATGGGCAAAGGACTTGAATAGACATTCCCCCAAAGATATACAAATGACTAGTGAGCAAATGAAGAGATACGCAACATGACTAGTTGTCTTAGTCTACCGGTGTGCTATGACAAAATGCCATACATAGGCTGGATAGCTTTTAAATGTTTTTTTTTTTTTTTTAATAGAGGCATGTTTTATTTATTTATTTATTTATTTGTTTTGTTTGTTTGTTTGTTTTGTTTATACATGCACTGGGTACAGTCAGAAGCGCGGGGGAAGGTGAGAGAATTCACCAGAGCCAGAGCGGGGAGCAGAGCAGGCAGAAGGACCGAAGTACACTGCTGAGGGGAGCAGCGGACGGCAGGAGAGGTCTGCGCGCCATGTGGGACCCTCCTCCGGTGGCCGGGGAGCAGCCAGGGATCGAACCCGCGCCGCAGAGGCCGCGGGCAGCTTTGCAACCCAGTGCTCAACCGCTGCGCCACCGGGGAGGCCCAGGCTGGATAGCTTTTAAATAATTTATTTCTCACACTCGAGTCTGGGAAGTCCCAGATCAAGGCCTCAGGATGGTGGTGTTCTGGTGCAGGCCCACTTCCTGGCTTGGAGATGGCAGTCTTCTTGCTGTGCCCTAACTTAGGAAGAGTGAGAGATCTCTGTGGGGTCTTTTATAAGTAAACTAATCCCATTCGTGATAGCTCTACCCTCATGACTTCCCAAAGGCCCCATGTAGAACCATCACTTTTGGGATTTAGAATTTCAAATTTGTGAATTCTTTTTTTTTTAAGATTTATTTATTTATTTATATAAGCACTGGGTACAGTCAGAAGTGCGGGAGGGTGAGAGAATTCACCAGAGCCAGAGCGGGGAACAGAACAGGCAGACTGACGAAGTACACTGCTGAGGAGAGCAGCGGGCGGCAGGAGAGGTCTGCGCGCCATGTGGGACCCTTGCCGGTGGCCGAGGATCGAACTGGCGCTGCAGAGGCTGTGGGCAGCTTTACAGCCCAGCGCTCAACCGCTGCGCCACCAGGAGAGGCCCTCAAATTTGTGAATTTTGAGAGGACACACATGTTTAGATCAGAGCAATAATCATTAGGGGACTACACATCAAAACCAAATGAGATACTGCTTCTTAGTAGGATTAAAATATATACATAGGAAACAAAATAATAAATGTTGGTAAGGATGTAGAGAAACTGGAACCCTTGGGTATTGCTAGTGAAAATGAAAAATGGCATAGTTGCTACAGAAAACAGTATGACGATAGCCAAAAAAATTAAACATAATCACCATATGATCAGCAATCCTGTCCCACTTCAGGATATACACTCAAAAGAAGTGAAAGCAAGGACTTGAGCAGGTATTTGTACACCCATCTTCAGAGCAGCTCTATTCACAATAGCTAACAGGTGGAAGCCACCCATCAATTAATGGATAAAAATATAGTATATACATAAAATAGAATATTATTCAGTCTTCAAACGAATACTGTGACTCACGATATAACAGGGATAAATACTGAGGACCTCTGCCACATAAAATAAGCTACTCACAAAAGACAATCCTGCATGATTCCACTTACATGAGCTATGCACAGTAGTCAAATTCTAGAAACTTAAGGTAGAAGGTGGCTTCAAGGGCTGAAGGTAAGGGGAAATGAGTTGATGTTTAGAGTTACAGAGTTTCAGTTTTACAAGAGGAAAAGTTTCTGGAGATGGGTTGCACAACAATGTGAATATATTTAACACTACTTACCTGCACACTTAAAAATGGTTACTATGGTAACCTTTATATTATGTGTGTTTTACCACAATTAAAAAAACAGTAAGACTCAAATCAGGCATGAAGAAGATAGTGCTTTTAGGGTTATTGTGCACAGATGTAAATCGAGGGCTAACGCTTTACCTTGGCTGGCATATGAGGCAGAAAGCACTGGAATGCCTTGTGTGAAGCTAGAGTTCAACTATTATACCCCCTCAGCTCCCTGACCAGTCTTGAGCCAATCCTTTAGCCTAGATCCCTGCGGATCTAGGGATTAAAAATACAGCCAGAGGCCAAGGAGAAGACAGATCTGCCAGGCCAGAAGAACCCACAGCACAGATGACAGTGTTACCTAACTCCTTCATTCTCACAATTTAGCTTTTATTCACCATTGTTCAAATGCATTAGCTAACAATCTTTATATTTCAGCGTTTACAAAGCATTCATTTTTGCTAGAACATTTCAGGATGTTTAGAATTTTGTTTCTTAGTATCGAAGATGACTGTTTCCTCATTTAAACTGTTTAGCTTATCTTCATACTTCCTCAACTTATTTTACTTTTGTTTTTTGCAGACTTTGAAGGGATGAAGAGTAAAATGAAGAAAGGGAAATCTTTCCTTTGTAATTTATTTTTTGTAGGACATTAAAGTGCGATGCCTCCTGAGACATCCCATTTCAGAGGACTTTAACAGGGAACTTCAGAAAACAAAACCCACCTGCTAGGATCCTAGCAGATGATAGGCATTTTGAACATTCAGAGAATTGGCTGCAGTTTAATTGAGCGAAAATGATTAGCTTACTTGAAGCAAATGAGACTTGAAAACACAAAGGGCAAAAATCACTTAAACACATAGCAGGGTATGTGGGGATTAGCACAACAGAGGTTTCTCAAGTATTCTGCAAGTATTACTAAATGTTTAAAAAGCCATCTCATTGACTTATATAAAAGCGTATGATCCCCCTTACTTTGTAGTCATACCTACAACCTACTACCTCATCTATATAGCCAATGAGTGAACAGTGTGGAAAGCATTGTGACACCCAGAGCCACTAAGGAGAATACTGAAACAGAGTGGGGAAAAGACCAAAGCCATCAAAGATGCCTCTTAAATAATCATAAGCATTAAGTAAGATGTGATGGCACCTGTTTTTCGGCTGATTCAAATTTAAGAGTTCAAAGTAAATTCTTATTAAAAACAAATTTTTATTGCTGTAACATTGCATTATAGTTTCAAAATAAATCCTATTATAAATTTATATTCAAAAACAGCTTTAGTTTTATAACTTATTTGCAAATTACTCAAAAAAATCAGAAATATAAAATACATTTTAAAAAAGAAAATATTACCTGAAAAACCCAGAATTTACTTATTAGTATAAATCCAACATTTATAAAAATTCCTCAAGATGACTTTACAGCATTCTTTCTATCCTTGTTCACCCCCTTGTGGCCATGACATGAAGCCACTAGTGAGGCGACAAAAAAGGAAGAGCAGACCTGGATAATAAACTGATCATGTCTCACTTTAACGCTATTTCCCATAATTAAGCAGGTTTGCTTGAAATCAACACGGGTCTGGACTTTGGCAGGAAATAAATGGGAGACTTGAAGGAGTAATTGTAAATTATCCCTTCATTACACTTTCTTGGAAGTATGGGGAGTCTAACAGAAGCTGATAGGGGAGTCCCATTGATAGTGGGGAGGGCTGGAACACATGACAATCTTTTTACAGCAGTCCCGCTCCTTCCAAAGATCAAATGTGAAAAACTAATTTCAGAAGACAAGGGAAAGTACTCCTAAGCAGCAGTTGTCGCCATGTGGGAGAAAAATTGCAGTCAGTGGCCCAGTGCACTGAGTCACTAGCCCCTGCCCATCCCCGAAAGGGGCTTGGAGTACTTGGCTCTCGTCTACACTTTTCCCCTTCAGTTTTCGTTACTCTTTCCTGGGAAGCTAGCCCTAAAAACACACTCGGCGAAAATACACATATCTTAGCGATAATTTTCAATAGGGGTTTGTAGTAGAGAAGGCAATGTTTAAGGTCAAGGAAACCTTAGGCGAGTCACTTCCCTTTTTATCAAGAAAATGAAAGGATTCGAATAAAACAATCCCTAAATTCTTGGTTCTAGCTCCCTGACCAGCGCTGGAAGGGCTAGCCCCCTGCACCCCAAGATGTTCACTGCAAACCACTCCAAACACAAACGGCGTGATGTCAGATTTAAACGTCGTCCAAGTCTACCTTGTCACAGCAGGCAACGCTTGGTTTACGTTTTTTTCCAAGCCATTTTCTATGCAGAGCCAGCCCCTTCGGCCACTCCGAGGGCAGCCTCTTCACCTTGGAAGCTTCGGGGCAACCTCTGCACAATGGACCAAAAAACACAGCCCTTGGCTGACAGAAGCCACAGTGTCAGGCGCCACTGAAAATTAATCTGACCCATTGAAGTAGTTCCTAAGTATCTAATTCTAAATAATACTATGTGATATTTGTAGACACAAAATAAATCTAATAATTCAAAATAAAAAAAAAAACAACAACAACAACGCTGCCTTCTCGACCTGTTTCTCCCGCAGGCGGAGGCTCATTTACAGACACGACCTCTGACCCGCGTCCCTCCCGGCTTCACCATCCGCCCCTCCCGGCAGCTCCCCGGCTGCGGCTGCGGCCGCGGACACGGACGGGCCCCCACTTCCGTTTTGTGGGCGGCCCGCCCCGCCGCACCCCACACTCCCCAGGGCGGGCTTCCGCCCCCCGCGCCGCGCTCCCGCCAGGACTTCCGCCTCGCGCGCGGGGTCACCGAGACCCCTCCCTTCCGCCTTGACGTCGCTCGGCGAGACCCAGGCTCGCGGTGATGACGCCAGCGGCCGGCGACGGCGACAGCCGCTGGGAGAAGGGGCGGACTTCCGGGGCCGCCCCGACCGCGGAGAGCTGCTGTCATGGCGGCCGCGCCGTGGGGCATCTTTCCGGTCCTGCTGCTGCTGCTGCTGCTAGCAGGGGATGCCCAGAGCTCAGAGGTGCCCGGGTCCGCAGTCGAGGGGTCGGGAGGGAGCGGGGTCAGCATTGGAGATCGCTTCAAGATCGAAGGGCGTGCGGTTGTCCCAGGGGTGAAGCCCCAGGACTGGATCTCGGCGGCCCGAGTGCTGGTGGACGGAGAAGAGCACGTCGGCTTCCTTAAGTGAGCGCCCTCAGGGCTGCGGGGGAGCGTTTGGGGTGATTTCGGGCGGCGGCCGTCTGGCCTCCCAGTGGCGCTAAGTGTCAAGACCTGGCTGCGCCGCTGCTGGAGGGTGTAAGGTGGGCGCCGCTCCCGGTCTGTGCGAGGAGACCGTGGGGAAGCAGTGGGGCCCCTCCCCGGTCTCAGACCTCAGAAATGAGGGGGGGCAGGTGGGCGCTTAGGGTGGGGGCAGTGGGGTCAGTTAGCTTTAATTCCTTTTTGGCCCTTTATTAGGACAAACACTCTTGGGCGCTAGGGGCAGGTGGACCCCTTTATTAGGATGAACACTCTTGGGCTGTAAGGGTAGGTGGACCCCTTTATTAGGCCGAACACTCTTGGGCTCTAGGGGCAGGTGGACCCCTTTATTAGGACGAACACTCTTGGGCTCTAGGGGCAGGTGGACCCTTTTATTAGGACGAACACTCTTGGGCTCTAGGGGCAGGTGGACCCCTTTATTAGGACGAACACTCTTGGGCTTTAGGGGTAGGTGGACCCCTTTATTAGGACGAACACTCTTGGGCTCTAGGGGCAGGTGGATCCCTTTTTTTAATCTCGTGCTGATTTTTCCCCCTGATTTCTCCGCAATCTGAGTGCGTTTTACATTCGTGTCGGTGTTTTGGTAGCTTGATGTCGTGTAGAAAGATGCTAAGCAAGTGGGAATTCTCAAAGCCCAAAGGCCTTCTAGTGATGACACAGACTGGGAGGCTAATGTTGCTGCTTCTAAAATTAATGGGCCCTCAAGTCCCTAATCAAAGCACCTTTTTTGCCTGAAGGTGGGATTGCTGTTCTTTTCTGCACTAATTCATCCAGGGATTTGCAGCATCACACCTGGCATTTACGTGAGACTAGGGTTTTTCTGCATTGTTTATACACTTCTGTCGTTTTAAGATGTTAGTAGAAATGAAATTTCAGCCTATATTAAAAGAGGTGGTGAATTTATTAACACTCTGATTTTGCAACAGCTACTTTTCAGAGGTCTAGGCTCAAACACGATGTTTTAAACCTTTCAGTCGCTGATTGGAAAGTGGTATGGAGAGCTGAAAAAAGTATTCTCGTGAGTTTGTACACTAGCAAGTGTATGAAAACCAGACAACTTAGATGTAGGGATTTAATTCTAAATCTGATTTGCAAATATTCAGATCTCCTAGGTGTCTTTGAATGAGAATTTCAACCTCCAGATAAATAAATAATGCACTTGTAACCATTATTTTAATGCTATTTTGCATTAAAAATCTTACAATAGGCATTCTTTTGGGTTTACCCTCATAACTGTTCTTGTAATGGTAAAGTTGTCGTTAAACTTTAGAAAATTGGCCTTAATGGACCGTTTAACCTGTGTTTTTTTCTTCTGCAGTTGTTTTAAAAAGCTCTGTTCTTAAGATTTTATATATGTAATGTGTTTATTGAAGAAAGCATAAACGACAAAGTAGAAATAACAACCCTTACCATTTTATTGCATCGTTCCCAGCTTTTTATGAGTCATGATCTGTTTCTAGTAGTAAAATGTATAGTATATAGTACTTTATAACCTGCTTTTTTTCACTTAATGTTTTGTGAGTAGCTCCTGGTGACATTTTATGTTCTGCTGTTTGTATGTAGAAAGATTAAGAATTGGTATGAAGAACTTATGGTAGAAAACTTGTTGGAAGAGGATAATTTGTCCTGTACCTGTTATGTCTAACTACATGCAATTTTGACTTATATTTATGCTTATTGGAGGTGGCTTGACATATGACTAATGGAGCTTCAACTGAGGACTGCCATATCACTTCTCATCCTCTTCACTGTTTATGTAAATCATAATTTATTTCGTCAGTTCCCTGGGGGCGTACAGATCATTTTCAATTTTTGACATAGTAATATTATGTACTATATATATTTTTGGAAAATTTTATTATGGGAAATTACAGGTACGCACCTAAATAAACAAAATAGCTTAGTGAACCCTTTGTTATTTTATTTATTTGATTCACAATGTATTGTTTTGTCTCATGTATGCACTTAATTTTTTTTCTGGAATATTTAAATGTGATTTCACTTGTATAATGTAAAATTTCACTTGTATAATGTAAAATTTTACAATGTAAAAACATTTTAGTATCTCTGAAAGATAAGTGCTTTAAGAAAAACCACAATATCATTATTGAGTCAACAAAATAAATAATAATGACACATATCTAATAACCTGTCCATGTCTCACCATTTATCTTAAAAATGCCTTCAAATCAGATATCAGCAAGGCCTACATATTGCAGAATACATTTTTAAAGCCATATTTAAAATTTTTACTATAAAATGTTATCTTTCTAAAGTAAAATACCTTAGGGTGAAAATTATATTTGCTTTTTCTTTAGGCATTTCTGCTAGTACATGCCTTACACAGTCATTAGTTTAATTTTTTTTCTGAACCTAAAAAGATGTTTTGAAATTCATTCAGTTAGAGTCCCATTAGAAGCAGAAGACATACCCAAATTAGACTGATTCAAGAAGTTTAATGAAAGAATTCAACAGTGTAGTCATGGTATAGGAAATAACTAAATTGTGCATTACCCTAGAGCTTGCAGCCTCCAAGCTCTCACTGCCACTGTGCTGAAGGGAGGAGGGGGAAGTGAAGGTTACTAGAACCTGGAAGGGAAGAAAGGACTGCCTTGGGAGGAGCTGTATTCCTTGACACTGGCAGTTAGAGGTGGCCTCTAAGGGAGAGCCAGGGGAAAATAGGCTACAGACATTTTCCTCTTTTTCTCCAGTCTGCAGAGAGGACAAAGGGTGGAGGGCAGATCTAAAGGGCAAATGGAAGGCATTCAGCCCAGGAATAAGTTAGCTTGATGTTTACCCTTCAATTCTGCTTTTGTGTGTACTTGAAATAGCAAGAATACTTTTTTATTCAATATTGTGGATGTGGCAGGATCAGTTATTCCCTTGTGAAAAAAACCTAATGACTTAAGCATTTTAATATATTGTGATTCTGGAAATTCTCTGATAAAGTTGATCCTTTTAGAACTATTATTTTCCTGCAACAAACTTCTTTTTCCTTAGAATGGCAGTTTTCATTATCAAAACAAATCAGTTTTGATCTGTGAACATGAAATGATCAACCCTTGATGGGATGGTTTAAGTGTAGAAAGTTTAGAAGACTCCAATCAGGAATGGGTGGATGAAGTTTTAACTACTTGAACGTTTTAAACTGGTACATATCCAAAAAGAAGTAACCAAAGTATATGGGAGCTATTTGTACCAGTGGAACAAACAGTACCTTTTGGTTAAAAAAAGAAAAGCAGCAAAATGCAAATTAAAGCTAGTTTTAAAAGCTACTTTTTACTAAGAAATTGTTGAAGGGGATTGGCAAATTTGGAACCCTAATTTTGTAGTGGTAATGTGTATTGACAGTTGCCCCTGAATGAAGATATAGCTTCAGAATAGGACCTACTATTTCTTGTTATCTCTATCCAACTTGAAGGAGCAAAAAAGAACTGTTTATGTCAATTTTCTCTGCTACTGTGGAGTGCTGTGGGGTATTTTCAGAACCCATTCAGTGTAATTATGGAGGCTGAAGTGTGGGACAACTCTTGTCAGTTTTGGGTTTGTATGTTTTTTGCTAAATGCTGTGAATATCATCTTGGGGGAAGTCAACTTATAAATTAAAGTGATTTAAAACCTAAGAAAAGAATCAAGCCTCCCTGGTGGCCTAGGGGTTAAATCTCAGCGCTGTCATAGCCAGGGCCTGTGTTAGATCCCCTGCCTGGAAGCTAACCTGCATATGGCACAGCAGATCTCTTCTGTGGCGCGAACTGCTTCCCTTCGCAGTGTATTTCAGTAAATCCACTTGTTCTGCTCCCCACTCTGTCTCTGGTGAATCTCTCACCCCTTGCACCTCTACCTACACTCCAGTTCTTATTTGAAAAAAAAATTTTGGAAAAGGAAAAAACTGTTGGTCAGAAAAGACTAAATATTATTTTCATTTTTCCAGGACAGATGGGAGTTTTGTGGTTCATGATATACCTTCTGGATCTTATGTAGTGGAAGTTATATCTCCAGCTTACAGGTTTGATCCTGTCCGAGTGGATATCACTTCAAAAGGAAAAATGAGGTGAGAGCACCAGATTTAATTTTCACCAAAGGTTAGGCGAATGCAAACTTCATCATCTATTTCTTTTAGAATATATAGTTAAGGTTTAAAAATTTAATAAAACCACAGACATTCCTTAAAATATTTAAAGCATCCTTAAATATTTTAATTGTTTTAGTCTGAACATTGGTAATATTATAAAGTTGAGCTTCCTCCTGTTCTGGCCTGATGTTTGTTTTAAAGCTGTAATATTATTATATAGAGAAGAAGTAAGATTACTTACTGTGGGGACAAAAGCATTGTGAAAGTTATTATTGCAATGTGATTTTTAAGATTGAAAATAATTTAACTTTTCTAAGTTGGAATTATTCTTCATTTGTTTTTCATTGTTATGGTTTGATAATACCTCGTTGTACCTATTTGATTGTAGATTGATCTAGAAATTTCTATAGTTCTTCCTGTCTGTAATATTTAGTGGACAATGGATATTTAATATTTCTTGGAAAAACAATAGATTACATTGTGGAGTTAATCTCAAAGTGAGACTCATGGTAGTAAAAAGAAGAGTAAAGCTTACATTATTAGAGGTTGACAAACTAGGGGAAAAATTTAGAATTTTAAATAGAGAGCATATGCTTTTAAATTGAGATGAGAAGAATTTTGGACTAATCTGGGCTATGAATATGGGATATCACAAACCCAATTGTTTTGGAATCAATTATGTAGAATCACTGTTCAGATCAGCCTTCTGTTTCAGTCCCTTCTGTTTTTAGTTTCATACCAGTACTGCTCTCTTCAGTCTGTTCTGACCAGTTAGTATATGAAGCAACTTAATAGTTGTCTAACTTCATAGGGGTGTAATTGACAAATCCAAAACAGTTTTAAGTGATAATGCCTCTCTGAGCATCACGAAGTTACTCCTGGGTTGCTGTGCTAAAGCCCTTGCTATGCAAAGGTCAAAATCATTTTGGTGTTGGAGGAACTGTATTTTATCACCAGCCTTTTTGGTATGTGCCAAGCACATTTAGGTTGATTGAACTGAGGTAATAGAAATATGTTCAGTTAGTACCATGATGTTTACATTTGCGTTAGTGTTTCTCCTAAAATGTTTTCCTTTCTTTGCCATCTTGTTTTCTTGATATGAATTTTTTTTCTGAAGTGTAGCGTATAAATGTACCTAATTCAAATGAATGAGTCACACATACAGCTGTCTTATCCTCTGTATCAGCTGCACACTGTTCCACTGGTGGATTTGCCATTATGTCTATAACCAAGCCCAACTGATGGGTAGGTAGGGCTTTTCTCTCCTCTTTCAACATATACAGTGACCAGAGAAAGTTATTTTATGGCAATGGAAATTCTTGATAGTGTTATGAAACCAACACCATGATGACACTAAAAATACATTATCGAGAAATTAATTTCCTTATCTTTTTAAAGTTTTATCATTATGTTAAGAGGGGTAGGGTAAAAAAAGTCATCATATTAAAGCATTCTCTTTTGCCCAAATTTTCATCCTCTTTCTTGCTATTTATAGCAAGAGTGAAGCTTGAGTTGAAGGCAATAGCATACAAGTATGTATTTAATTTAAATTTTTTTGATGGAATACATGGATTATTTCAAGGTAGATGATGCTCATAAGATAGTGACTTTTCTCATGTATTTCAGGGAAATAAAGAATTTTTAAATATATAGAACTAAAATTCTAGTATGTTAAATCTAAACCTTAAGTATTTATCATAATTTTTTGTGTATTTGAGAATTTTAAGTTTGGAGAGAGGGATATGTAGATTAATACATGTGTTTTATGTAGATTTGAAAATTTTTTAATATTAAATTAACTGAATAATGGAGGGAATGAGAGCTGTTAAAAGGGGATACTTGTATATTAAAAACCATGCTTTTATTTTTACTCTGAATTTTGAATAAAACAATCCAAGCAAATAGAAATGTTTTTAACATTTTTTTTTTTTTTTTTTTTTTTTTTTATAGAGGCATGCTTTATTTATTTGTTTGCTGGTTTGTTTGTTTTGTTTATACATGCACTGGGTACAGTCAGAAGCGCGGGAGGGTGAGAGAATTCACCAGAGCCAGAGCGGGGAGCAGAGCAGGCAGAAGGACCGAAGTACACTGCTGAGGGGAGCAGCGGGTGGCAGGAGAGGTCTGCGCACCATGTGGGACCCTCCTCCGGTGGCCGGGGAGCAGCCGGGGATTGAACCGGCGCCACAGAGGCCGCGGGCAGCTTCTCAACCCAGCGCTCAACCGCTGCGCCACCGGGGAGGCCCCTAGAAATGTTTTTTAAACATAAAGTTTTATTTGCATTTTTACCTGGGTTAAAAAGTTCTTCCTGGGCCTCCCCGGTGGCGCAGCGGTTGAGCGCTGGGTTGCGAAGCTGCCCGCGGCCTCTGCGGTGCCGGTTCGATCCCCGGCTGCTCCCCGGCCACTGGAGGAGGGTCCCACATGGCGCGCAGACCTCTCCTGCCGCCCGCTGCTCCCCTCAACAGTGTACTTCGGTCCTTCTGTCTGCTCTGCTCCCCGCTCTGGCTCTGGTGAATTCTCTCACCCTCCCGCGCTTCTGACTGTACCCAGTGCATGTATAAACAAAAAACAAACAAACAAATAAATAAAGCATGCCTCTATCAAAAAAAAAAAAAAAAAAGATTTAAAAAAAATAAATAAATAAAAAGTTCTTCCTGCTTTAGCATTTAAGGTGTGGTTGCAGTAGTGGAATGCATATTCTCAGATCCATTCCTGATGATTGGATGCCTGAAGCATCGGTAAAAAAAATGAGGATCTTATCATTTTAATAATTGAGGGTGGGACAGAATTGAGAACAATGTGGAATTCACATAAAAGACCCCAATATTCTTGACCAGTGTTTTGTAAGCAGTCATGGTGTTAGTTTCAAATACACAATGGGGCTCCTCTTTGTGACATTTGGCAAAATGAAAAATCTTAAACATGCTGGCTAAAATATGACAAGCATTTCCTTTCAAATATATGGCTCCAGAAAAGCAAGGGAGAGCCCCAGTGGATAAACTATAAATACTTTCCCACCTGGTGGTTTTGATATTCTCTAGCCAAAAGACTTAGATTTTACTGGCAATGTGCAGGTAGGAGGCAAACTTGAACTTGCTTGAAGTCAGAATTAGATCTAAGAATTGATTTTCCCTTGACCTTTGGCACCAGACTCCCAATCTGGCCCTGGCTTTTGGTGGGGAAATCTCTAAAAACTGAGAGTCACAGTGTTACCCTCATTGAAATTTAGAGTACGAACTTAACACTTCCTGTATGATCCAGAAATTTCCAAGCTGATCAGTTTATAAGGTGATCCCTGGTCATGATCCTGACTCCTTTGAGAGACAAATGCATACCTTCTTGAGCGGGAGATACTCTGTGTTCAGACCCACAGATGAGTAAAGTCTATTTAACTTATAAACTATGCAAGAAAACAGTGCACATTAGTCAACAGATGAATCAGACTTCAAAGAACTTTGGATAGCAGAATTATTAAATATAGACGCAAATAATTTATAAAGTATATTTATTTTTATTTATTTTTAATTTTTAAAAGATTTATTTATTTATTTATTTATTTATACAAGCACTGGGTACAGTCAGTAGCGCAGGAGGGTGAGAGAATTCACCAGAGCCAGAGCAGAGAGCAGAACAGGCAGACTGACGAAATATACTGCTGAGGGGAGCAGCGGGCAACAGGAGAGGTCTGTCGCCATGTGGGAACCTCGCCCTGCGGCCGGGGATTGAACCGGCGCTGCAGAGGCTGCGGGCAGCTTCTCAGCCCAGCGCTCAACCGCTGTGCCACCAGTGGAGGCCCTATAAAGTATATTTAAAATGATTAAACAAATAGATGACTTGTGGCCACAAGAAGTAAGATACTACCAAAATTGACCAAGCTCTTCGAAAAAATAATAAAATAGAACTTCTACAACAAATATAGGTATTGGAATACAAAACTCAGTGGATACATTAAGCAATTGATGTCTGATGAACTGGAAGATAGATCAGAAAAAAAGCTACCTAGAATACAGATAAAGGAATGGACACTGAAATTGAGAATTTAACAAGATGCGGAGTAAAGAATGAAAATATCTAATACTTGTTTCCTAGTTCCAGAAGGAAATGTTAGAGAAAAATAGGAGAAGCAGTGTTCAAAGAGTAAATTGGAATATGTGTGAACATGGACGAAAGTTTTGATTAAAATTAATGGCATCTGATGAAAATGCAGTATTGCTGTTGGCATTGTTGCAAGACAATGATTCTAAAATCATAGGATTTTCCTGTAAAATAGTCTTGAAAATTGGGTAAATCCAGTAATGCATGTCTCAGACAATAAAAAAAAAACCCACAGCATTTTTTAATATTTATAATCATCAAAGAGCTTCAGAGTGAGAATTCTAAAAGAACTTTTGATATAACCAGAGATATTAAGAACTTGTCTAACTCCTCAGGCGTTGGTAATAACAGAACTATGGCTAGAAACTAGGTCTTTAGGTTCCAAGCCTAGTATTCTTTCTCTACATTTGTTCAATAGTTCAGACATATACAGGTAAACCTACTTTGATCAGATTTTTCAGGATCAAAGTTTAGAAGTCAGAGCATTTTTCCCAAGCTAGAGATAACTGTAAGTCATTACTAATAAATTCTAAGCAATTCTTTTAATTAGTAATATTCTAATAGAATTACTGATGCTTTTTTCACATTGCTTTGTCAGAGCAAGATATGTGAATTATATCAAAACATCAGAAGTGGTCAGACTGCCCTATCCTCTCCAAATGAAATCTTCAGGCCCTCCTTCTTACTTTATTAAAAGAGAATCATGGGGCTGGACAGACTTCCTGATGAATCCAATGGTATGTATCAGGCTACAAGAAAGTATCTTTACTAATTTCTAATATTCTTTTTGACTGCTTGGAAAGAATGAAAGCTGAGGTTATATTCTTGGATGAAAGGAGAATTGTGAATAGTTCGTGAATTTCAGAAAAATAGTAACTTTGGGAATACATAATGAAAAGAAATGTGCAATAGAAGGAGTTTTTGAATTTTAAAACATTTGATCATAAAAAAGAATTTCTCCTATTGTACTTTTCAAAAACACTAGTAGAACTTTCTTTAGAAACAAATTGACCTTTTTTTTTTTTTGCTTTTGAAAGTTGAATTGTCTTAGAGTTGTGTATGTTTTGATGATATTCCCTGCTGATAACTCTTTAGATCACTCTTTAGATCACAGGAATGTGTGGGGCCTATACTCCTCTAAAGAGGAATAAATTAGTTCCTAGAATCTGTTGTCAGGCATAAAGAAGCAGGAGAGTAGAGTGAATGGGGTGGGGTCAGGAAAGGGAAATCAGCAATGAAACTCCAAATATCTTCCATGTTCTCATTTTTTTAAATTCCGTGGTAGTATATCCAGTGCTAGAAGCTTTTGAATCATTTTTAAAAACTGATCTGCTATAATAGTCTGTAGTACTATTTGTAGGCTCTAGAGGATGTACATTAATGATAAAGAGACAATGCAATGTTTTCTGCAAGAACCAGGGTCTTCTGGAAAGAGCAGCCAGCTGGCCATCAGAAACACCAGTACCAATGCCGACTACAGACTGGAGAAAGTGAATAGACAGTTCCTTTTGCAGACTTCTTGTGTTTAATGAGACTGTAAAGTCTGCAAAATAGTAGGTGACACAAATCTGATGCAAGCTGTGTCCAGACATGCATAGATAAAGATCTTGTGCACTGTAGGAGTCAGACACTGAGAAGCAAGGCTGCTATCAACAGGGATGGTTTGTAGTAGTGAGGTTTCAGTCTATATACAATATTCTATATACAACATTTGGACATTTAGTTTCATCACTGATTGTTATGTACAGATGTTGTTACAGTGTTAAGTGAGAAAAAACATTTTCTGAATTCTTCTTCTATAGGTTATGATGATGGTCCTTCCGTTACTGATATTTGTGCTTCTGCCCAAAGTGGTCAACACAAGTGATCCTGACATGAGACGGGTAAGGTGGCCGCCATCTGTGGGTATTTTAAAATAGTCTGTTGTGCGGTCCATCCATTGTGGCTGCACGGCTTGGGTTTTTTCAGCTTCATCTCAATTCTCAATCAAATTTATCTGGAGGTTGTGTTAATAAAGTATTGTGTTTCTGGCTATTAATTAGTTGCTTCCATTGCACCAGATAGATTCAATTGTTTCTGCCTCAGAAAGACTTGGGTCTCTTCATATAGCCAAAACTTTCTATTTACTACTAGCTTCTTTCTTCCTCTTGATAAAAATAGGTGAAATGAATAATTTTTCTGAAACAGCTAATCCAAATATTTTGCAAAACAGCTTCTCATAATCCGTTTTACAAAACTCTTCAGGATACACATTTGCATGGTAGACCGAGGGAGAAAAATAGAATAGTGACTTTGAAACTCTGTACCACAAACTGTTCTGCTTTGGGAATGTGGGCAGAGTTGCCAAGTGGGATGCTTTAAATTTAGTGCTATCACTGTGAAGCTGTCCGCAGCCTCTGCAGCATGAGTTCGATCCCTGGCCAGCTAGAGAGCTACCCACCTGGCACAGCAGACCTCTCCTGTCTCACCCGCTCCTCCCCTCAGCAGTGTATTTCAGTCAGTCTGCCTGTTCTGTTCCCCACTCTGTCTCTGGTGCATCCTCTCACTCCCTGCACCTCTGGCCTGTGCCCCAGTTCTTGTATGCATAAATAAATCTTTTTTTTTAAAAAAGGATACTATATCGATCTTACTTAAAAAAAAATAAATTTAGTGCTATCACTTAGTTTGTTTTTAATAATGGCTTCCATATTAAATCTTCAGGGTGTTTTTTTTTCCCAAAGATTTATTTTTATTTTTGCATACAAGAACTGGGGTATAGATCAGAGCTGCTGGGGGGCATTGAGAGGATTGACCAGAGACAGAGTGGGGAGCAGAACACTGAAATACACTGCTACTGAAATACACTGCTGAGGGGAGCAGTGGGTGAGACAGAAGAGGTATGCTGCGCCAGGTGGGTAGCTCCCTGGCCGGGGATCAAAGTTGTGCTGCAGTGGCCGCGATAGTGTGGTAGCGCTGACTTCAACCCCTGCACCACCAGGGAGGCCTCAGGGTTGTTTTTTTTTTTTTACCAATTGTCTATTCTTTTACCCCCAAACCATCAACAGATATCTTCTGAGTTCCAAATTTTCCCATTGTGTTTAATATATTGATGTTTGGTATATTATTCATTGCTGAAAATACACTTATTAACTAATTTTTTTGGTACACAAATGAATTATATGTCATCCTTGTCATCAACAAATTCATGGTCTGGTTAAATATAGGAAATAGCTCATATTTATAAAATGCTCTTTTTGTCATTGGGAGGGAGAGAATGAGAGAGAGAGAGAGAGAGAAAGAGAGAGAGAGAAAGAGAGAGTATGTGTGTATTTTAAGTGGGAAAATAAGACCTATATGAAAGGAATAAATACATTTGCTGAGGCAGTAGGTGATTAACTTTGGTAGAAAGTATTCCAAGATGAGAGAGAAAAAAAAGAAAGTATTCCAAGATGGAATGGCAGACAAAGGTTCCTGGAAAAATGAAGGTTTTATGATATTTCAAAATGTTTTAATGCTAAATTTTGGTGTCTTTTCTTCAATTTTGGTAAGAAAGTATATATTGTATGCAGTTCCTTTATCTGTTGAGCCAGTTAACTGTCTCTGGTATCTATGGAAGGAAACATCTAAAGCTGCATTAAAAATTTCTTCTTTGCAAATTGCTTTGGAACATAGTAAGCAGTATAAAAAGTTGTTCATTCAAGAGCTTCAGAACTAAACAGATTCAAAGACAGTTGATATATTTTTTCAGGGACTCAGGACCTGTTACTAGATATATTTAATTCTTGATTGTGAGAGCATGTTAACATATTTGGTTTATGTTTATGTTTCTTTTCCTGGTCTTATTTGTAGAACACTGTCTCCTTGAAAGCTCAGGAATGAATTCCACCTTTGGGGAGGAAGCCCAAGCCAATACCCTAAAGATGCTTATTTTCAAATAGTAGATTTTCTATTTTTTTTCATGTCACAATACAATTTTAAGTTCACTTTTAGAATGTCACATAAAATTTAAATGAAGCATATACTACATTAACGTCAAAAGTTTATAGGTTTTTGGCTCAATAAAATGGAGGACAAAACCTCAAAATAAAGTTCCAAATCCTTATCCTGTCCTTCAGGGACTTGTGTAACTTTTGTGTTGCTTGCTTTAGATGCTATAATTGAGGTTGCCCAAGCCCTACTGCAGTCACAGATTTACTACTAAGGACGTTAGGAACCAAGTCCAGAAATACTGCACTTACCTTCCAGATGTTCTGATACCTTCAGTGTAGAACAAAAGATTGATCATCTGTATATATGCATCCAAAGAAAGCATGAGTTTAAAAAAAGACTCATTATAACAATAAGAAAACATTTTAATCAGGAAACATAAAATAAGATGGCACGGATGTGATTACCTGTGTCCATTTTCAGAGTAGATGCCCTTTATGAAAAAAAAAAAAAAAAAAGCTGGATCAAACCGTAGGCAAGCATTTATTGAATATTCACCAAAGATCAAAAAAAGGGAAACAGTGTCTGAAGTGCTGTCGAGTATATCATTGTTCAGAATAATTACTGTTTTACTTGTTCTCCTTCTTTTCTTCTTCCTTGATACAAATGTTAGTTTTTAAAAGACTGGAAGAACCCCGTGCCTCTTGCCTCACTCTGCTTTGTCTCCCTACAGGAGATGGAGCAGTCAATGAATATGCTTAACTCCAACCATGAGTTGCCTGATGTTTCTGAGTTCATGACAAGACTCTTCTCTTCCAAGTCATCCGGCAAGTCCAGCAGTGGCAGTAGTAAAACCGGCAAAAGCGGGGCTGGCAAAAGGAGGTAGTCGGGTGATCCAGAGGTGGCATTTGCACAAACAGCAACACTGGGTGATGCCCACGTCTTGAGGAAAATCGTGTGAAGCAACTACTGTAAACTCGAGTCATCCTTAAAGTTGATCTCTTATTAACTGTTGTGTGTGGTAACGCTTTAGCACATGTTTTGTACTTGGTGCACAAGAAAACCCAGCTCTCATCCTTTGTCTGTATGAGGTCAATATTGATGTCACTGAATTAATTACAGTGTCCTATAGAAAATGACATTAATAAATTATATGAAGTACTATACATTATGTATATTAAAATAAGTCTTAATTCAGAGATAAAATTATCTTGTCATTCTTTTTATTTATTTTATTCCTTACAGCTTTCTTCTCTTTCATTATCTGAATCTTGAGATTGACTTCCTGTTTAAAAGAAGTAGTTGATATTTTTACAGTGGTATGTACCTTGGATTTCTGTATTACCAGACCTTTCATAGCTCTTAGCCCTGCCCTGCCGTTTATGATGCCCTGACATTTGAGGTTTAACGACATGCTCCTGAGTTTTAACTTTTAGTTTTAATTTTGTTATTATAGTTAGTTTTAGAGTATACCATCTGGCTATCATCTGTGGTATTTATTATTGAGTACCTGCCATGTGTCATTATTCAAGGTACGGTATAGAGCTAGATAATATCCTGTGTCTGTCCTCATAGAGCTTATTATTTAGGGAGGAAACACAAGTAATAACAGGGAGTGAATAGCCAGGGAAAAGTACAACAGTAGGAGAGCCTTCTAGAGGCTGCAAATTCACCATAGAGTTCCACAGTGTAACACTGGTAGTTCAGTACAAGTAGTTGTTAGATCCTCTCATCCCTCCAGTCATTGAGTCTTAGAGTTGCATACAAAGACTACTACTTTTCAATCAGGAGTATATCAAAACTTTTTATTTCAAAGAGTTATAAAAAATTCACACTTTTTGGGGGGGTAGTTTTAATTAGAGAACTCTGAGGCTATCTTATTGCTTCTAGTAGAGACCTTCTATCCTCTCCTGTGTTAAACTCCCCTATTGCTTTCTTAATATCTTAAGCCAGCAAAAAACAATGTGAAAAGGATTGATTGGTTCCACTCTATTTATAGTTGGTGTCATTTTTCATTTTCAAATATATAGTTGTTACATATATTTACTAAATATATATTTATATATTTAGTAATATATAATGTTACTAAAGTGGTTAAGCTATGAATGATTAAGGTGGGTAAACTGGTTAACGGTGGAACTAGGTCTTTTAAAATAAGCTTATTTATTATAATAACTAAAATACTAGAATATTAGTTGAGTGAAAGAAAGGTGAATTTCACAGGAGAAAGAAAGTAAGAATCATCTGACCAGAGACCATGTTGAAAATTTTTTAAATTCAAATTGTCACAGTTTGCACTTGAAATGCCCTGTGACCCAGAAATTAGCACTGCCAAGGAAATTACCATTTCATTTGTGAATAAAGAAACTGTGTGGTTATTTTATAGATACTAATATCTGAATATTATGTATCTATCTATATTTGTGTCCCTTATATTACAGAATGTTTTATCAGTTGTATCAACATGAGAATCTTATTTTTGCATAGAACCTTCATCAAATGCTCAGTGTGCTTACAGGTGCAGAAATGATTGCATACTATTAGACAATATAGGGTTCAGTGCAAAGAGCATTTGTGTAGCTGCTAACTTGCTTTGTGGCTTTGGCAAGTTACTTTCTCACATTGGACCATGTATTGTCTTATTTATTGTTGTATTTCCACCACTGAGTATTAGGCACGCAGTAAATGTTTGTTGATAAATAAATAAACAGACCTCAAATCCCTTATCCTTGAGGGACTTGACTTAGACCTGTAAATTCCTTTTTAGATCTAAACTTCCATTATAATTTTAACCCAGTTCTATAACGTTTTACCTATGAGAACCATATGATCAATGCCAACTTCTTTTTTTTACTTCCTTGGGTTCTTCCTGCTACCCCCCATTTGAAGACAGTGTTGCTGAATTTTTTAGGTTCTTTTCTAGATGCAGCTTACTTGTATCTCCTTTCTAATGTAAGCTTTAAAAAGGAGATGTGTTTTAAAATTTTTCAAATTGACTAATTTACAAATTAAACGTTAGTCATGACTGCACAAAACAATTCTCTGTTGCCCCTTCTTACTAGGAAGTCCTGCACACCCAGGATGACTTCTCCAGGGTACCTTCCTATCTCCCAAGTTTTCAAGCAGTTTTTTGGGAGACAAAAGCTCAGGACTCACCCTGAGTCTAATTAACATTTTGAAAAGATTCAAGATTTTACCTAATCTACCCAGAGTAGTAAAGTATCTTAAATTTTTTTCCCTTCTGTTTCCTCTGGCAGGAAGGAAGAAGCAACCATTTAGCATACTTTTTAGTAGTTGGGAGGGTTTCAGGATCCTGATAAGGAATATCCATAAAGATAAGGGAGAGTTTTTTTGTTTAAGCCATAGCTCAGATTTTCAGGAAGTTTGGGATTTTTTTGGTGCTCAACTGAAAGTATTGAAAATATTTTTATTAAATACCTTTTAAAAAGTTGAAACAATGTTTTTAATTTTTTTTATTGCCTTCCAGATCACTATATGTAAACATGTTTACAAATAGGTATGAACCATTTTATATTTAAAACCCTCAAAAATTCTACTAAACACTCATCTCAATTTAAGAAGTATTTTGAGATAGGACCTAGTTGTACTATGCTCTTGTTACAGCATTTTTGGCATGAATAATTTGTAAGAATATCCAATTGGTAAAAGAGTTTGTTTATTCAGGAGATCTTAAATACAGTTTTTGCAAAATTCAGATGTTACCTGTAAATTATGAACAATGTTTATTTTTGAAGAAAAAAATATGGTGAAATATTGAAAGAGCTGTTTTAGAGAAAAATCCTCCCCAAATATCACCAAATACTAGCTTATCTCATTTGCTATGGTAGTATACCTTCATTATGACATGTAGGAGAACTGAAGTCTTCTACAGTGGCCCCAGTCTGGTAGACTTGAACCAGCCAGGTAAGTAGAGGGAGGGATAAATGAAGAAGGTAAGTAGTTCAGAGGAATGAGTAGACGAAAAAAAAAAAAAAAAGAAGAGCAATGTACAACACTTACACTCAAAAACTTGACAAAACATTTAACTCCACTGAAATTTATTGACAAGTCATAGCTACACCTCAAGTAATTTTTTTTTCAAAATTGATTTTTTTTTTTTAAGATTTATTTTTGTAAAAGAATTGTGGTACAGGCCAGAGGTGCGGGAGGGTGAGAGGACTCACCAAAGACAGAACGGGGACCAGAACAGGCAGAGGGTCCGAAATAAACTGCTGAGGGGAGCAGCGGGTGCGACAGGAGAGGTCTGGTGTGCCGCACCATGTAGGAATCTCCCTGGCCGGACAAGAATTGAACCACCGTGCCGCAGAGGCTGTGGACAGCTTCACAGCACTGCACTCAACCCACTGCACCACCGAGGAGGCCCTCACCTCAAGTAATTTTGAAATCAAATTTATATATGTACATATGAATGTAAGTAATTTACTCACTTGTAATGAGATCCTGCTATAGACATTTGGGTATTTTGAAACATTTTCTAAATGACGAGTGGATTTTTTTTTTAATTAAATGATTATGAAAATCTGGCATGACAAGAAATAGTATCATTATAGAAGTGTTCTAATTCATAAGGGATCATGGGAAGAGGTGTAAGGAAAACTTCCTTGCAATCACCACTCTCATTGTGTTTTGTCCATTGCGCAAAAGAAAAATACCATTCTGCACTTCTCTCTCCACAGGACTCCATCGACCTCCCTTCCCTGGACCAATCATTGATGGTAGAACTGAGGGTGGGGCTTGAGGCAGTTAATTGAGAGGTTCTGACTTGGGAGAAGGCAATACATTGAACCTAAACCACAGGTAAGCAGAACCAATAGTGGAATCTACATGTCTAAGGAATCTGGCCTGCAAAGAGTATAGCACCTGCTCAGGTGGGAGACCACGGGGACCTCAGAGCGATAGAGTAGCTGCTGGATAACTTTCCAGATCCAAGGCAGCTTCGCTGCTCTGAGGCTTAGCAACTCTTTTTGAAGTGGATTCTGTGAACGCTTCAGAATTCCTTGATTGAATCCCTTGCCCCACTGTCCACCCTAGCCCCTCACGATCGGTCCAGACTAGAATACTGTGTTCAGTTTTAACCTCTGTAAGATGCACAGCGGTCTAGACAAAAACTGCCGATCATTAATATTTACATTTTCCTATACAAGGGATAATGTTGATCTCATGACTATGTTAGATATAATTTAGGAAGAATTAAAGTAATATTTGCAATTTAGTAGAGAGTGAATGTTTTGCTTTTTTACCTTGGGTAAAAAGTACTTCCTGCTTTAGCATTTAAGGAATGGTTGCAGCAGTGGGATTCATATTCTCAGATCCATTCCTGAAGTGGATTCTGTGAATGCCTCTTGAATCCCTTGCCCTTGGATGCCTGAAGCATAGGTTAAAAAAAAAAAAAATGAGGCTCTTTTATCATTTTAATAATTGGGGGTGGGACAGAGAACGATGCGATTCACATAAAAGACCCCACTCTTCTTGACCAGTGTGCTGTAAACAGGCATGGTGTTAGTTTCAAATACATATGATGGACTCCTGTTTGTGACATCTGGCAGGATGAAAAATTTTAGAAATGCTAGATAAAATATGACAAACATTTCCTTTCAAATGTATGGCTTCCAGAAAAGTAAGGGAGATCCCCAGTGATGAACTATAAACCACTTTTCCACGTGGGGGCTTTGATATTCTCTAACCAAATATGGATTTTTTTTTTTAAAAAAAAGATCTGTGTATTTATACAAGAGCTGGGGTACAGGTCAGGGGCACGGGAGGGTGAGAGAGTTCACCAGAAAAGAGTGGGGAGCAGGGTAGGCAGACAGACCAAAGACACTGCTGAGGGGAGCAGGTCGGCCACACCATGTGGGAATCTCCCTGGCCGGCCAGGAATTGAACCCGAGCTGCAGAGGCTGCAGACAGCTTCAAGTGTGGCGCTCAACCTGCTGCGCCACCGGGAGGCCCTAGTCGGCATTTTTTAAGTGGTAATCCCTTTAAAGCAAATTTTGTTCAGCTGTGTACCCCTCCATGAAGTCTGAGAAAGGAAATAGATATAAACTGCAGCAGAAGGAATTTGTTGTGAAGAGGAATTTTTTGGCATGGCAAACAAATTGTGAAGTGCTGGTGACTGAGATTTACTTTTCTTGGAATTCTTTACGAAATTGAGCAAATCACCTCAGGGTGGTTTATATATGCA